CCCGGGGCGGGCGGCCGCGGAGCCAGGTGCTTCGCTGAGCCAGGGCAGGGGCAGAGGGTGCTGCCGGCGCAGGCTCAGCCAGGCAGGGCTGCTGCTGCCCACGGGCACCGCTCCGGCCTCTGCCCAGTCTCCAGGTCTTTGAGGCGATGGGACGATGGAGGGCTGGGCTGGTGGGGACGGGCAGGGCCGTTGCACGGAGGAATTTCCCAAGTATTCCCTGCTATTCCTTACCCCATAGCATCTCCCTCCACCTCACATGAGTTAAAACCTGGTGGTAAATCTGCACCAGCACCAGGCTGGGTATGGAGCTGCCTGTCCCCAACGCAGCCATGCCCTTGGGAGGCAGCAGCAGCAGGTCCAGGGCAAGGCCAGGGCTGGCCACCCCACAGAGCCAAATCCAGGTGCAAAACCAGCTTTCAAACGTGAAGAAAGGCAGAGACCTGTTCTCTGAGGGCTGCAGGTGACAGCCCCTTGGCAGGGGGGGTTTGGGGACTCCATCTGCCCATGTCCCCACCTCACCCCCCATGCTCCGCATCAGCCGCAGCGCCCAGGGATGCTGCTCTCATCCCTGGCACCAGCAAAGCAGCGCAGGCAGCACGGGAGCCCGCAGAGCTGTGCCACCACGGCCCATCCTGCTCTCTGCGGGACCTCACACGGAGCAGGCAGAAGCCCCAGCCTCTTCCAGCCCACGGGACTGCGGGAGAGCCCACCGCACAGGGCTGGGCACCCAGCAGTGCGCTGGCCCGGGGGCTAACCCCTGCTGTAAACCACCCGGGAGAAGAGAGGACGGACACTCACTGCGACCACGGCCAGCTGGCACCCCAGGTGACTCTGGACAGGTCCCAGTCCCCTTCTGCTGCACAAATCACCATCTGCCTGCCTGCTCCAACAGCTTCCTCCACCGGCATCAGCAGGAGCCTCACACTTAGCTCCAGCCTGGATCTCACCCAGAGCTGATAAGGAGCTGCAGCTGACGCTGTTGGTGGGTGGGGAAGGAGCTCCAGCTGCGCTGGATAACCCAGGAGGGAAACGGACCACGGGCCAGAAAATGCTTGGGCTGGGTGTAACGCGGATCTGGTGTCGGTGACGCTGCCTCAGCCACCAAACAGCGTGGCCTCAGCTGCAAATACTGCAGGAGGTGAGGGAGGGCCATGGCTGGATGCTCTCCGCACTCCGCCGCGCTCACCGGGAGCCCTCTCCCAACGGCACACGGATTCGGGGCACCGGCAGGTCGCTGCCCCGCGAGCGCTGCCATGGTCTGGTGGGTTGGTGGTCCCCAAGGGGGCTGCACATCCCTGCTCATCACACCCCGGGCAGAGACCCCTAACCCCCGGTGCTGCCCAGACGGCCCCGCTCAGCTCCACTGGGATGCTCCGGTTCACCCCGAGCCGCCAAACTGGGGCAGCCGCACCAAGGGGGTCGGGGCGGGGAGCGGGGCCTGCGCCAGCCTCCCACCACGTCCCGCCGGGAAACACGAAGCAGGGGCGAAAGGAAGGAAAAACTCTGAGGAAGCTGGAAGCTCTCGACATAGTTAAAAACCAACATTGCTCTTCAAAATAGATGTGATTGCGCTCCTTGTGAGTCATCGAGCAGAGAGACCGAGATTGCTTTGTGCCAGGGACGAGCCCGGGCGCTGATTGTGCGCCGCCCGGATTTGTGTAAAACAGACCGCGGATGGCATGTCAGAGTTTACCGCTCGCATACATTTTCAGCAGTGAGCTTTGCAAAATGTATCAATGTAATCTCTGCCTCCTATATTCCGTGTTGATTAGACACGATTTCTGGCTGGATTTTCAGAAAGCTCAAGTGCTTTTTTAATCACTACAGAAGCTCATTATTGCTTTCCAGTGACTCTTATGTCCTTCACTTCTCCTTTCAGATTAGAGTCTATAGTCAGATGAATATTGGATGATTTCATTACATACAAATGCAATCAACAGTTTTGCATAAATTTCTCCTCTTTTCTTGAGTTTCAATTGACCTCAGCACCCGTGGAGGCAGGCGCAATACACATGTAAATGAGCTGGCGTTGCTGCAAAGACACGGATGCGGAGAAACAAGATAAACTGTCAGATAATATTCAGGATTTTTAAGGGATCAAAAAATACTTCCTCGTTCAGCCCA